CCAGCTGGGGAGAGACTGTGGGAGGGCTCCAGGGCGTGTCCAGCTCGTCTTGCTCAGTCCTGATCAGCTGGACCCCAGCAGCACGCTAACCTACCGGTCGGAGCGTATGCCCCCTGGTAGTCAGTGCACGTCATAGTGACTGGTCGACCGGTTGACTGTCTGCCCCCTGGTGGTCAGTGCACATCATAGCGAGTGGTTGAGCTGCCTTAGCATATCATTAGCATATTATGCTTTGATTGGTTGAACAGCCAACCGGTCGACCGGACACTTAGCATATTAGGCTTTTATTATATAGGATTGAGCCAATCCACATAATCCAGAATAATTTCACCATCTCAAAGTCCTTAACTTAATTACATCTACAAAGTTCCTTTTGCTATGTAAGGTAACATTCACAGGTTTCCAGGATTAGGACGTGAACATCTTATGAGGGCCATTATTCTGTCTACCACAGACATATAGTTCCATGAAATATAAAACTACTAGTCTCTAATCTATAGCATCTTATATTAAATTAATTTCATCATTTGAAATCAAACAATCTTTCTTACAGATTTTTTTAAGGAGCATCAACTGTTAAAACTTACACAGGGGAATATTATTTAGAATATGTTTATTAGATGTTCTCTCTCTGTCTTAACTATTTATTTATTTTTGCTGATGTCATGACACCTTCCACCTAAATATAGCAGTAGAAATCTCTGAAATATATGAAAAGTGTCCTCTATAGCCTAAATAGCAGTCTTCCTTTTTACAGGAAAGTTGTTACAAATCCTAGCAGGAAGAATGTATTAGATAACAATAAGTTTTCTTGAGCAAATTATTGTTGTTGTTATTGTTATAAGTAGTAAATAATATAATTGACCTCTTTGTACTGACTGCTAGGATGCTTAGAGCAAGTTTGTGACCCACATTTAGCATTAATATCTTTATTTTTTTCTTACAATTGCTTTTATTTTTCTCCTGTTTTCCTCATTTATGTTTTCCTTCCATCTCAATGTACTATATATATCTTTATGCCTTGCCTCAAATCTTTTTTGGAAGTAAGCCATGTATACATAAATAAGAAAACATTTCCTGTTAGTACTTTGCAGTAGTGTGTTCTGAGGAAGCATATAGAACCTTTACCCTTGCAAGTTTTTAAATTTAGTTAAAATGCCATCAGGATACTTTGGATTGGAATTCAGTTTAGAGAAGATTTAAACACCCATTGGCATTTCCCCTGATTCCTCTTACCCTCAAGAATAATGGAAATATGCAAAAAATTATTTTGCCATTGGGTTTTATTTTATACTTTAAAGGAATAGAAGAACTTTTTCAGGATCACTGAAGTCAAATGTCTCCCATTTGACTCAAAATATCTATCTACACTACTCGACTGAGAGCACCCAAATGAAGAAATTCCAATTTCTTCTGAAAAAGAGTTCACAAATATGAAAAAATGGCAGAAAGGGGGTTCCGATGGTAGCTAGCAATTCATTTTCAATTTATTTTTGATACATTAATAATAAATACTATAATACCCCAAAGTTCTCTCTCCTTTATAATTTTTATCTGTTTTGCTAAAGAGTCCAAAACTGCCCCGAGGAAGGAAGCATATCATTTCCCTTCCCTTCCTCCGAGTTTTCTGTTTAAATCCCGCTGTTGCCAAGTTTGAGTGGAAAATCATTCCATTGCCATTTGGCAGTGTACATGACTCTTGGCCAAAAAGAACTATTTAAGCAACTTTGAAATCTGCTTAGATTTTAGAGCCGTGTGTGTGGTGTAGCCCCAGTGCTCCTGGAAAACACGAAGAGGCCTGCCATTCTCCCTGACATGCTCTCAAATATGACATAATTCCATGTCACGGGTACCAGCAAAACAGAAGAGCCCACAGGAGAGTCTTAGCTCCATCTTGTGAGCTTTCTGCCATGAGTCTGAGGGGGAACTATTACTACTGTTAATAGTGCACATTAATTGAGCAGTAACTCTAGAGCTAGGAATTGTGATAAGCCTTTAAGTGCATTTTTCATTTAATTCTCACCACGGTCCCCCAAAGGAGTTGCTATTATTACCCCCACTTTATGGATGAAAAAGCTGTGACTTAAGAAGTTAAGTCACTTGCCCAAGATCACATGGTTTGTCAGAATTGTGCTTAAAAACATTTGTATGTTTGATTTTAAAGTCCACAGTGTTAACCTTTATGCTGTGATCCCCACATTTAAGTTTGTGTGTATACAGGGAGCCAGGCTATATTGTTGCTAAGAATGAGCTTATATTTAAAAATTTTTTTGATATAAGAGTAATATGTAGAATTGAACTCTTTAAATTTAGAGAAAACATCATTTAGTATTGTTTTTCTTTTTGCTGTCAACTAGAAATTCCCTTTGCATTCTGAAAGGAAATATAACCCTAATATTACCTTGAGATTTATGTGGTATCATTGAGTCATAGCATTAGGGGAAAAAGAATAACTTTAAATCATTTTGATGGGAAGCAGCATAACGGGCAGATGTAATGATGCTAGGAGTGAGGAAATGAATCTTCTATTCTGGTTCAAGTTTGACTCATATTATGCTTTTGGAGAGCTACTCAACGTTTTAATAGTTTTGATATGTTTTCCTTAAAATGAAGATATACATAAATATAACTATATAATTTATGGTAGAAGATTTGAATTGTCTTTCTAAAGTAGGTTGGCCAGCAACTAGATTCTAGGTTGATAACATCTAAGTAACCCATATGTGGCACCCAAGCTGTTCTTGTCCATGAATAGGGGAAAAGATCGTTCCTTCTCAGAAAGGGAGGAGGGAAGCCCAGACCCACCTCTATGATCCATAAGTCCTTAGTCTGCACCTCCTTCTTGCCTGAGTGGACCCTCATTCTGACTTGAGAGCCCAGCTTTGGGTTTGGTTTCCATTTTGGCTCTTTTTCCAGCTCACTCAGTCAACTTGTATGTTGCTAGACTGTGTTTGCTACACTTCTTACCCTTGCCCAACTCTCTGATTTTGGATGTTGCCTTTGACTCTCTCTCTCATGGGCTTAAAAGCACATGCCATTGCAAGTGCATGTCCAGCGTTCCAGCTCTTGTTGCAGCGAGCTAGGTGCTTGTCTGAGAGAGTCAAGTGCTAGATGGCTAAAAAGTACTATAAAGGAAATGTTTTAAAATATTATTTACTATTCAAAATCTCTATACTTAATCACAGAAAGGTACTACTTTTTAAAAGAATTTTTGAGCCTGCTATGCTATGCTTACTTACTCATTTCCTCCTTTCTTCCTATTTTCCTCCCTCTTTTCTCCTTTCCCTCCCCTCCCCTCCGCTCCCCTCCCCTGCCCTCCTCTCCCCTTCCCTTCCCTTCCCTTCATCAGTCACAAAGACCTGATAATTCTACCTTAAATATTTTCTAGAATATTCATATTCTTTTATCCCCATTGCTACCAGTTTAGGCTAGAGAGCTGCCATCTCTCTCCTAGTTTATGCCAAAAATATTCCAATTGGTTCTCTGTCTTAAGGTTTTCCAGTTTCAATCAATTTGCTATAGAGTAAAATGAAAATGTTACTGGGTCATCCTTCTTAAAACCCATAAGTGGCTCCCACTTCCCTTAAGGCTGAAGTCCAAACTCCTTGGCATTCATTACAAACATCTGTTCCATCTCTCACTCATCTTTTGCTACCCCTTCCCCATTTTATACTCTATTCCAGTTCCTTTATGTATCCCAAACTTTTCTGCATCCTTTTGATTCATGGGTTGCAATGGAGTGACCATAATTTGCTGGAACCACAGCAAACTGATGAAGCTCTGACAGGGAAGAAAATCCTCCAAAGGCAAATTAAGGCCTTCATCAAGCATGTCAAACTCGCAGCCCACAGTCTGCATGCCTTGTTTATTTGGCCTGTGTTTGAGTTTGACATGCTTGGCCTTCATTATCCTGCATGAGGATGGTTACAGTAGTTTCCTAACTGGTATTTCTCCTCTGGTCTTCCCCAGTCTATCCTACAGTCTGTTGGCAAAACCATTAAAAAAGTACAGGTCTGATGATGTTATTCCTTATTTAAAACTATTTAATGGCTCACCTTGATCCTGAGGATGAAGTGCAAATGTTTTTCATTGTGGCTGAGTCACCCCTTGGTCTGGTCCCTGCTTCTCTATCTCCTTATACTCTTACTCCTTGATTCAGCTGCTCAGGTGCTTGCACTTTCCCTTAAAAGACGTGTGTATGTGTGTGTGTGTGTGTGTGTGTGTGTGTGTGTGTGTGTGTGTGTGTGTGTGTGTCTGTGTGTCTGTCTGTCTATGTTCATTCCACTTATTTGATCCTCTTTCTTATTACTATTTTTTTATGCTTGTTCTGACTTTCATATAGAGCTTGAATGACTTAGGTGTCTGAGGCATAGGAACTATGTAATCACCTGGTTTTTGAAAGCCTGACTGATTGACTAAATGATGAATGAAAAGGTAAGCATGTGGATTCCATTCCCTCTTAGAAACCCAAACCCAAACCCAAACCCTTTCCTCATGCTTATTCTTTGCCCTCACCCTATTTTTTTCATTCAGTGACAACTTCTCAAAAGAATGATCTATACTCCATTGCATGTATTTATTTACTATTATTCCTTAACCCTTAATTATGAGGACAATATTGCTTTTGTCCTCATAATTTTACTGATATTATTACTTAGCATATACATCTATCCCTTTTGCCATATTCAGTAACTTTATTTTTATTTTTTATAAATAGACAGGTTAATGATGCATTGTTCTTCACACAGCTGCCTGCAGAGTCTTTAACTAAAATCCAGGAATATGCAAGTAGGCAACATAGACCGTGTAGCCAGATCTAAAATAAACTGGCTTCTTATAACTACCCTGTAAACATCACAGCTCTCCTTCCGTCCAAAATGAACATAATCTCACATGAAAACAGTTAATGTAGGGCCAAAAGTTTTGTGGCCAAAAGCAAAAACCAAAGGAAAAATAGCAATTTGGTGGTTAGTTGGTGAAAGCAGGGAATCTGGAGCCCTTCACTGTGCTGCTTTGCTCTTCTTACTCTTGCTGTTTTTGTCCCTCTTCTTCAGCCCACCCATGTTTGCTCTCAGTAGGTTTGAATAAGCCATCTGAAACTTATTCACTTCTTTGGAGCTCACCACTGTGCTAATCTTCTTTTTCCCATCAGTAGCTCTTAACAGACATTTATTGTCTGAGGGCTCAAAGCCCTCCACTGAGACTTTCCTTGGAATGGGTTTAGTTCGGCCATCATACTTCTTCAGGGTGAGGAACACACTGCCTGACAACCGGCACTCCTGGAAGAGCCTGGTCAGCTCCGCCAGGAACTGCTCACTCTCCAGCAGAACCACCCGGCTCCACTGGCCCCACTCAGGCCGCATCAGTGACTTTATCTTTTGTATTCTCCTTACCTTCTCTTCTTTTGCATATCCTACCACCATTTCAAACTCAGCATGTCTAAAACTAAGTATTTTAATATTCACTTCATATCAATTCTCCACCTATGAACTTCTTTCTACCAGTTGTAGAACGAGTCACCCAATCTCAGATTCTTGGTGTTATCATCCCTCTCCTTACCACTGAACTGTTTGATTTCTTCTTTTGTAATATTTCCTTCCATTCTACTCCATTTGTAGTTACTATACTAGACCACAATTTCATCATTTCATTGATATATGCTTCCAATAAACTTCTATTTGTCTAATAGAAATGTAATGTGAACCACATATATAATTTTAAATTGTCTAGGAGCAACATTTAAAGATGAAATTCATTTATATATATTTTATTCCAATATCTCCAAAATATTAACATTTCAAAAAGTAATTAACAAAAATTATTAATGTGATATTTGATATATATTCTTTCTAGTCTTTGAAATCTAATTTGTATTTTACACTTGGGGCACATCTCAGGTCAGACTAGCACATTTCCAGTGCTCAATAGCTATATATAACTAGTGGCTAGTTATTGGACAGCACAAAGCCTAGCTGATTTCCTTGACTCCAAATTTTAACTTTTTTCAATGGAATCTGCATCCCATCATCAAAGCAATTACCATTTAGCACAATTATCATTGCAAACACGAAGAAGAAAATATTCTCTGGCTACTTTCATTTGGGTTCAATGGAAAGACCTGACTTCTTTGATTTGATTCAAGGACCTCCATAAATTCCTTTCATGCATCCCACATTATTTTTACCTTATCTACTATTATTTCAACTTATTCAACATTATTTTCACCAGACTTCAAAGTATACCAATTGTTCCAGTTATATTGATCTTTTCACTATTCCATGTATGGGCCTTCCTCATTCCTACCTTTACTCCCATGATTTATGTTACTTGGCTGGTTTCTTCTCTTCTCAGCTCTCAATTCCCAGATCAAATTATTCTTTTTTGTAAAGCCTTTCCTGACTGATACAACCAGAGGGGTAAGTGCTGCTGTGAGGATGTGAACATATCAATAAATTGTGTAATTAATAATATAATTAAAGTATAGTTTGTTATGCTTTTTTGTGTGTCATGCTTTCTTAATAAAATTATGAAAAAAGTGGTCTTTATTATGGATTTAATTATAGTAATGATATAATTGTAATTAAGTTTTAGCATTTTTTTCAATTACAATTTACATTCAATATTATTTTGTATTGGTTTCAGGTGTACAGCATAGTGGTTTGACAATCATATACTTTACAAAGTGGTCCTCTTGCTATTTCAGATACACATCTGGCACTGTACATAGTTATTACAATACTAGAGGCCCGGTGCATGAATTCATGCACCAGTGGGGTCCCTCTGCCTGGCCTGCATGATTGGGCTGAAACCGGCTCTCCAACCTCCCCCAAAGGGTCCCGGATTGCGAGAGGGTACAGGCCAGGCTGAGGGACCCCATCTGTGCCGGGGAGAGATGTGGGAGGTTGGTTAGCCAGGGAGGGACCACAGGAGGGCTCCAGGGCATGTCCGGCCCATCTTGCTCAGTCCCGATCAGCCGGACCCCAGCAGCAAGCTAACCTACTGGTTAGAGCGTCTTCCCCCTGGTGGTCAGTGCACGTCATAGTGACTGATTGACCGGTCGACTGTCTGCCCCCTGGTGGTCAGTGCACGTCATAGTGAGCGGTTGAGCAGCCTTAGCATATCATTAGCATATTATGCTTTGATTGGTTGAA